CACAATCGATCTGACTATCGATCTCACAATCGATATCACTATCGATCTCACCATCGATCTCACAAACGATCTCACATTCGGTCTCACTATCGATCTCATTATCGATATCACAATCGATCTCACAACCAACGTCATCATCATCAACATCATCGTCATCAACGTCATCAACATCATTATCATCATCATCATCATCATCATCATCATCATCATCATCATCATCGGGACACCATCATCATCATCACCTCATCACCATCATCATCAGACTCATCGTAATCACCATCATCATCATGGGAACACCATCATCGTCACCATCATGATCACCACCATCATCATCGGGACACCATCCTCAGCATCATCGGAACACCACCATCATCATGAACAACATCATCAAGATCATCATCATCATCGGGACACCATCCTAATCAGCAACACCATCATCATCATCATCATCATCATCATCATCATCATCATCATCATCATCATCGGGACACCACCATCATCGTAACAATCATCATCACCATCATCATCATCGTGACACCATCATCACCAGCATCAGCATCATCATCATCACCATCATCGGGCCACCAACATCAAAATCATCATCATCACCACATCATCATCCTCACCATCAACATCATCATCATCATCGGGACACCATCACCGTCATCATCATCATCAACAGCATCATCATCGGGACACCATCATCATCAACAGCATCATCATCGACCTCATCATCAACGGGGCACCATCATCACCACCATCACCCTCATCATCATCAGATCATCATCATGCCATCATCATCAACATCCTCAGGATCATCAACATCATCATCATCGGGACACCATCACCATTATCAGCAACATCATCATCACCAACATCATCATCATCGGGGCACCATCATCATCACCACCATCACCGTCATCATCATCATCATCAGCATCGTCAATATCATCATCATCACCATCATCATCATCGGGACACCATTCTCATCACATCACCATCATCATCATCAACAACGTCATCGACATCATCATCATCATCATCATCATCATCATCATCATCATCATCATCCTCATCGGGAAACCGACGGGACACCAGCGGGACACTGGCGGGACACCGCGCGGCACCGGACGCCAGAATGGAGACTTTTGGTCCGGCCGCGCCTCAGCCACAGCGGGACACCAGCGGGGCACCGCGCGGCACCGGTTGCCGGAAGGGAGACTTTTGGTCCGGCCGCGCCTCAGCCACGGGAGACTTTCTTCTCGCCCGCCCACGCAGCTTCGCCTCGCCCGCACGCACGGCACGCACGAACACGAAACCGAAACCGATTTCCTGGTAGGGGGGCTCTCCGTTCCACTTCGATCTCACCCCTCACATCCGACACTTATACATATATACAAGTACCTATACGACCACCCTTCGGTGATAAGGAGGTTCGGGGGGGGGAGGAACCAACGTCTCACTCGATCGGTCGCACTATCGGTATCGATCTCACTATCGATCTCGCTCGATCGATCTCAATCGATCGATATCACCATCGATCTCACTCGATCTACTTCATTCGATCGATCTGACAATCGATCTGACAATCGATCTCACAATCGATCTCACGATCGATCTCACCATCAATCTCACAAACGATCTCACATTCGGTCTCACGATCGATCTCATTATCGATATCACAATCGATCCCACAATCAACGTCATCATCGTCATCAGCATCATCGTCATCAACGTCATCAACATCATCATCATCATCATCACCATCACCATCATCGGGACACCATCATCGTCACCATCATCATCAACATCGTCATGATCGGGAAACCATCATCATCATCGGAACACCACCATCATCATCATTTCTTCATCATCATGAACAACATCATCAGCATCATCATCATCGGGACACCATCATCATCATCATCAGCAACACCTTCATCAACATCATGATCATCGGGACACCACCATCATCGTAACCATCATCATCATCACCATCATCATCATCGGGACACCATCATCATCATCAACATCAGCATCATCATCACCACCATCAGCGGGCAACCATATCAAAATCATTATCAACACCTCATCATCATCCTCATCATCAACATCCGCATCGGGACACCATCATCGTTATCATCATCAGCATCAACATCATCATCATCGGGACACCATCATCATCATCAACAGCATCAGCATCAACTTCATCATCATCTCATCATCATCGGGACACCATCAGCATCACCTTCATCATCATCATCATCATATCATCATCATGTCACCGTCCTTAACATCATCAGGATCATCAACATCATCAACATCACCATCGGGACACCATCATCATCAGCAACATCATCATCAACATCATCATCATCATCATCATCATCATCATCATCGGGGCACCATCATCATCAGCACCATCACCATCATCATCACCATCCTCATCATCAACATCGTCAACATCATCATCATCATCATCATCGTCATCATCATCGGGACACCGTTCTCATCACATCACCATCATCATCATCATCAACAACAACATCATCGACATCGTCATCATCATCGGGACACCGACGGGACACCGACGGAACACCGACGGGACACCGGCGGGACACCAGCGGGACACCGCACGGCACTGGACGCCGGAAGGGAGACTTTTGGTCCGGCCGCGCCTCAGCCACAGCGAGACACCGGCGGGACACCGCGCGGCACCGGCTGCCAGAAGGGAGACTTTTGGTCCGTCCGCGCCTCAGCCACAGGAGACTTTCTTCTCGCCCGCCCACGCAGCTTCGCCTCGCCCGCACGCACGGCACGCACGAACACGAAACCGAAACCGATTTCCCGGTAGGGGGGCTCTCCGTTCCACTTCGATCTCACCCCCTCACCTCCGATGCATACAGGATGCGTGCACATGGCACATCACGCTGTAACTACGTATGTACGTACGCACGTATGTGTCTATGCACACATGCACGCATGCATGTGTGTATGCATGTGTGTATGTATGTATGTGTGTATGTGTGTATGTATGTATGTACGTACGTACGTACGTATGTATGTATGCATGCATGTATGTACGTGTTTGTGTAGGTGTATGTGCATGTACATGTAAATATGTATGTGTGTATGCATGTCTGCATGCATACATGTATGTGTGTATGTATGTATGTGTATATGAATGTTGGTGTATATGTCAGTATGTACTTGTATGAATGTATGCATGGTTGCATACATGTAGACATGTATGTACGCATGTATGCATGTATGTCAATTGTATGACTATGTGTGTATGTGCATGTCTCTATATATGCTCGCATGCATACATGCGTGAATACAAGCATACGTGCGTGCATGTAAGTACGTATATATGCATGCATGCGTGTGTGCGCGTGCATTCATGCAGGAATGAATGCATGCATGTATGTATGCATGTTTGTATGTATGTATGTTGGTATGTATCTATGTACGGATGGATGGACGGGTGGATGTACAGGTGAGTATGTATGCATGCATGTACGTGTGCATGCATGTTTGCATGCATGCATGCATGTATGCATGTATGCAGGCGTGCATGTATGCATGCATGCGTGTATACTTGTATGTATGTATGTATGTATGTATGTATGTATGTATGTATGTATGTATGTCTAGAAATATGTGTGTGCAAGTGTAATCAAGTATGGGCATACCGTTATAGATGTATACACACTTGTATGCATACGAATAGTTCGGGCGTTCCATCTATGTATATATATATATATATATATACATGTGTGCACAAGCCGCCGAATCAGCTTGACTAATCTCGAATAAACCTTGGGATCTGCTCCGTCCAAGTGTTCAAACCCGTAAGGACATAACCCGTTCTGTTAGGATCTCACCCGTTTCGTTGAGATCTCACAATTTCTCGCCCCCCCCGATCCGTCCACGTGAGACCGCGCACCGAGGTCCTGCTCCCCGGCAACCTCATCCAGGAACGCCAGGGTGTTCAGCGCACGCGGCACGAACCCCGCGAGGGTTCGGCGCACGCAGCACGAGCCCCGAAGGATCCCTCCTTCCCCCCACCTCTGGGTGACCCTGTCGCGGAGGTCCTGCTTACGGGCATCCCCCGCCAGGACCCCCAGAGAGTTTATCGCACACGGCACGCGCCCCGGTTCAGCGCGCGCGGCACGAACCCCGATGGACACGCCCGCTGGAGAGTCCTGCAGGCTGCCAATAGGGGCCCAACACACAACCCAGACACCGCAAGAGGCTTCAAGAGGTCCCCAGCAGCACACGAACGGGCCTGCGGTGACACCCCGGGGGGGTCCACGAGAGGCCCCAGGCCGCCCAGAGCACCAGAGGCACGGTGCTCGAAACGTTGCTGCTCCCACGCCTTCCAACCCAAGACGGCCTCGGGGGTGCCACAAAAGGCTCCCAGGCAGCCCTTGAGTGGCCCCAGACCTTCCTAACACCTGAGGGGCCGCCAAGGAGTCTAACAGGGCGCCCCTGACACTGTAAAAGGCCAGGTTGGCCCAAGGCACCCGAAGACGACCCAACACGGCCCCCCAAAAAACCGAGACGCTCCAAGAGGGTCCCACGAGAGCCCCCCCAACATGGCCCAGGAGGGCCCTCTAAAGTGTCCCGACACGCCACAGCAGTAACTGCACGACCTTCCGCTCCCCTCTTCCTCTCTCTCTCTCTCTCTCTCCGCCTGCTACTTCAGTCGCTTTGTGCCGGGGGGTGGTTGTTTCAACGTCCCCCGTACCCGAAGGTGGGCACCTCCGCTAAGCGTGCTTTTGCGGCCCTGGCAGCTGCAATTGCCGGCTGTAGCGAAACCGCCGTCTACGTGTCCGTTTTTTTTTTTTTCTCTCTCTCTCTCTCTCTCTCTCTCCCTCCCTCCCTCCCTCCCTCCCTCCCTCCCTCCCTCCCTCCCATCCATGCCTGCGCAGGCCAATCGCGGCCTCAACATACGTGAAGAGGTCGGCGGGTGCAGCGACAGCCTGATGAGTTGCTCTCCTCCCTTCCCCCTGTCCCCCATGCCCCGCGACTGCCCGCTCACTGCACGCGCACGACCCTGTTTGGCGAGCTTCTGGCAATGTGCCTGAGGTTGGACCCGTGACTCTGCTGTCCTGACTTGAACCAGTTGGTGTCCGTGAACGAGCTGTTTCGCCCCGCGTCCCAGACGCCGCCGCGGCAGGTCGCCGACCCGAGCCAGCCACCGCGCTCAATCACGGGCCCGATGCTGAGAGGGCCGCTGCTCGAGCGCGACAGCCCGGCCATCGCGCCGCAGTGGCGGCAACGCTCCGCGGCCACCAGGTCTGGCACTCGGACATCGAATCGCGAGGGGGGCACTGCCGGCCCCAGCTCGGCCTGGCCGCCGCCCCGCTGGCGGCGGTGCCCGCGCACGTCCCGCGAGCTGCCGCTGCTCCCGGTGCGGCACGACCGCGGCGTCGCGCTCGGGCCGGCGCTGCCGAGCCGCCCGCCCGACGGCAGACCCGGCGAGCTGAGCGACCTCTGGTGGTCCTGCGAGGCCCAAGGCTGGGCCCCGGGAGGGCAGCTCACCGCGGGCAGAAACCACCCGCGCGGCACCACCGCGGCCGGCATCCCGGGCTGCTCACCGGCCGGGGGGAGCCAGAAGCTGTCCTGACTACCTACCAGACCACCCCAACCCAACCCGAAGACCCGAATCTCGGGTTGGGGGGGGGGTAGGGGCTCCATTCGTGTTCTTTCGATGTCCCCCGACCCCCCCCCCCACTGGAAATGGAGGGCAAGCTGAAGCCTTCGGGTTGGGTTGGGGTGGTTTGGTGGGTGGTGCTGTCCACGGACGCCACGCGGCCAGAGAGGCCGAAGCGCTCCCCGTACTCCGTGGGGCCACCGGCCCCCGCCTGCCCCGCACGGGCCCACCACGCCGCCATGGCGCCCCGCGCGGGGCCTCGGGGCGGCGCCCCCGCTCCGGGCGAGGCCGGAGCGGCCGCCCGACGGGCCCGCGGCCGGGCTGGGGGCGGGCTAGGGGGGAGCGGCGTGGCGGCGCGGCCAGGCCATGGCGTGCGCGAGCCAGAGCGGCTGGCGGGCGAGGGGTAAGAGGCCTCCCAGCTGGGGTCGGAGCAGGTGGAGGCAGAGGGTCGCGACGCATCCGCCATGCATCGGCGACGCGGGGGATGTATCGGCAACGTCGACGTGAAGCAAGTCGGGCTCCACATCGAGCCGCATCGGCGATGCATCGGCGATGCGCCGCGATCTTTCGACCCCATCCACTCCGACCCCGTCCAGGAGGCCTAGAAAGATGAGGCGTGGGCGCCCAGGAACCTGATCTTGTCCAGTTTGGCCTACTGGGACTGCCCGAGCCACCCCAGGGGAAACCCTGCAGCCCAAAACGTTGTCGTCGGAGCCCGCCGACGCCGACGAACCCCCGCCCCAGAGCCTCGACCTCGTCCGGCGCCGCCAGGCCCACGACGAACCCGACGATGCCGACGACGCCAACGGCGCCGACGCCGACACCGACGCCGACGCCGACGCCAACGACGCCGACGACGACGACGCCGACGACGACAACGCCAACGACGCCGACGCCGACGACGTCGACGATGACGACGCCGACGACGACGACGACGACGACGACGACGACGACGACGACGACGGCAGCGGACCCGCCGCCATTCACCGTCTGTTGAGCAGGGTTCGACCGTCCCGGCATTCCTACAGGCCTACCACTACATGTTCCCAGAACCCAGACATGTTCTAAGAACAACAACAATGTTCTTAGAGCACACGCCCGATGTGTTGGAGAGCAGGACCGTCTCAGCCAGAAGTGCCCTCAGAACACGTCGTGCCAACCGCAAACGGTTACTGGACCCTCCCTGGTGGGCCTCTAGGCAAGCCGGGACGCTTCGCCGCTGCTCGAGTCCGACGGTTTCCCGGGGCCATCCTTTTTTTTCTCGGCACTGCGCCCGAACACCTTCAGAGGGACGCTTCGTGAGGGGCCTAGGGTAAAATCCACCGATCGTCGGTGCACGATATGTCTATTCCTAACGAGGGATCGGGCCCAAACGGGAGCGCTGAGGGCAGGACGAGAGCTATGCCACGACCCCGCACCCACGCGCCCCCGCATCTTGCGGAGGCGGCACTGTGGGAGCGGCACCCGTGCCCCATCTGGGGTCAGGTGGCCACTCTCCTCACTTTCAAAACTCAGACTGCAGGACCGAAACACGAGGGGTGGGACGCCGAAGGCCGACCGAAGCCGGGGCCATCCGCCGGCTTCCGCCGAAGCCGAGGCCGACGCCAGAGGCGAGGCCCCCGCTCTGGAACGCCCCGGCCGCCCGCCAGACGCTCGGCCTCCGCGGCGCCGCTCGGGGCGCTCGGCGGGCCAAGGGGGGGGGGGTCGGGCTTCTACTCAAGGCCTCCTCGATGGGCCTCCTCCTAGATTGTGGAAGGAGACCAAAAATAGGACACCAGCGAAAAAAAACCCATCAAAGTCTTGTTAGGGCTACAGGGCTGTGGGGCTATTGGGCTATGGGGCGATGGGGCGATAGGGGCTATAGGGCTGTGGGGCTGTAGGGCTACAGGGCCATAGGGCTATAGGTCTGGAGGGCTATAGGGCTATAGGGCTATAGGGCTATAGGGCCATAGGGCCATAGGGCTATAGGGCTGCATGGCTATAGGGCTATGGGGCTATGGGGCTCTGAACTATGGGGCTATAGGGCTACAGGGCCATAGGTCTATGAGTCGATAGGGCTATGGGGCTACAGGGCTATCGGACCATAAGGCTATAGAGCTACAGGGATATAGGGCAATGGACCTATAGGCATATAGGGCTATAGGGCTATACAGGTGCAAATGGGCTATAAGGCTATAGGACTATAAGGCTATACGGCTATAGGGTTATAGAAGGGCTATGAGGATATTGGGCTATACGGCTATAGGGCTATGGGGCTATATAACTATTGGGCTATAGGGCTATAAGGCTATAGGGCTATAGGGTTATTGGGCTATAGGACTATAAGGCTAGTGGCCTGTGGGGCTACAGGGCTATAAGGCTATAAAGCAATAGGGCAATAGGGCTATAGGGCTGTAGGGCCATAGGGCTATAAGGCACCCGGGCACCCGGGCGGTCCGCGGAAATCGGCGGCAAAGTTCACCCAACCATATGAATCCGCTAGGACCCCATACAGAGGCTAGCCCTGATAGGGGAACAGGAATCGAAAGATCATCGAAGCATCGTCCACAGACAATTGCTTTACCATTCTGGAGCATTCCTCCTGTAGAGGGACATGCCAGACTTAGTATTCCAACCCCATCCACTCCGGGGGGGGTCGGGCTTCTACAAGAGGCCTCATAGATGGAACCCGAATAAATGTAGAGATACAAGCTCTATACGCTGACGCTGTTTTTCTCCGGCCCCTGCGTTGACAAGAGCGCCGGAAAGCTGATCCTGGCGTATATACGGGATTCAGGATCCAGGTGTATACGTGTTTTTCGCTCCCCCGGGAAGCGAACAAAAAGGATACACAACACCACCCCGACGTCGCCCACAACCTTCAAAAAGTCCAAAGATTGAAGAACACCCCCCGACTGGTAATGTATCTGTTCCGGTTTCCGAAGATGGGTCGGCGATGTACCGCCGATGCGTCGCCGATGCATCGGCGACGTCTGCAATGCATCGGCGACGTCGGCGTGGATAAAATCGGGCCCCGCATCGAGCCGCATCGCCGACGCATCGGCGATGCGGCGCGATCCTCCGACCCCATCTACTCGGACCCCATCTAAGAGGCCTGGATCCACTCACCCAAGTCTGTGCAAACCCGGGCCAGTCAGACTTTGCAGCGTCGTTAGCGCCAGCCCGGGCCACTGCAATACCGTCTTTGCAAGATCGTCTTCAAGATCCAGCGCTGTAGCTGACCCCCGTTGGCACGGACCCCCGCGGGGGGGGCAACGGACTGGACGCCACCAGCGCACCAAATAGACAAGCGCGTTCCACTATTCGGAAAGTAACTACTCGCAAATGGCATGGATCTGCCGCGGGGGTCTGCGATACATCACACCGAACCACACAAGTGTGTGTCGGACGTTTGCGAGTAGGCACTTTGCGAGCAGTCGAACGCGCTCGGTGACGAGAGGCCCCCATCGGGCCGGGCGAAAGGGGGGGATAGCGAAGGGGGGGGGGGACAATCAGCTCACGTAGCTGATTTTACCGGCGCCTCCCGGCGCCGGAGGCGGCTGTGTATCGAGGAGTGGGCCCCTCGGTGAGGCCGAAGCCAGCTGCACGCAGCAGATTTCGTAACCCTCCCTTTCCCAATCCCCCCCTTTCGTCCAGCCCAACCCCAGAAGAGCATGGGTTGCCCCGCACCTGCACAGGCGAGGGGGGAGAGGGTGCCAGGGCAAGGCGAGCCCTCGGCGCCAGTCCCCTTGCTCCGCGGGGACGGCTGCACGAGGGGAGGAGGAGGAGGGGGGAGGAGGAGGAGGAGGACGAGGAGGAGGAGGAGGAGGAGGAAGAGGAGGAGGAGGAGAAGGAGGAGGAGGAGGAGGAGGAAGGCAAAATGGGAAAAAGAGGAAGGGGGGAGCCCTACGCAAGACCGCGGCCCCGAGACAGCCTCTGGACATTCGAGCTCCTCTTAGCTCCAACCCTCAGCCTGGCTCTGAAGAGGCTAAGGGTGTGCTCGGGGGTAAAGCATCTATGATTACTGGCACGGAAAATCTGAAACGTGTTATGCATCAAATCAATGGCTGCGAACTGGGACAGTAAGCATTCACGAAATTCCGAGGAGAAGAGGTGAGGAAGGAAGGTGGCCAAGTCCGTCTCTCCATAGTCTCCAGGAAGCCAGGGCAGAACTTTGTTGAAAGCTTCTCGCAGGACGGGACAACCTGCATAGTATCAAAGGTCATCACCCCCAATCGCACAACAAGATAAACCACACACTTGGGCTCCCTGACGATATCGGCGGGTAGTAATCCAGCTGTTAAAAAAGCTCTGGAGGCACGCGGACATCACATAGCTGGCACAAATCAAAGCTGCATCCACAGGGGACGCAGAGGACAACCATTTTTGGAGCCGCGGGGCCAGAAGTTCAGGGGCGGGGGTGAGGGTCATTCTAAGATCCTGGTTAAGCATCTTTGTGATGGTAGCTTGCACTTTTTTCCACTGGCAGGTGATCGGGCGGTGCACCCTGAAAAACTCGTCATACAGGTTCCACGTCCTCAGGAAGAGGCTGTGCTTGGCGCACGGGCTCCACCGCCACGCAATGCAAGTTTCGTCGCTCTCTGCGAAACTGGCCAGCTTTTGCTTCAGGACATGAAGCCGAAGGCTATTGAAAGCGGCTCGGAGCAGCGAGGCACGGGCGACGATATGGAGACGATAAGCCTGCACATTGTGTCCCAGCTCCTTCAACTGGAAGAGACTCTCTGGAGGGAAGCTGAAACGCGGGGAAATGGTCAACCTCTGGAGACAGTTTTTTTTCCGCAAGAGCAACGCACTTCGGTGGTTCCCACATCTGCGCAACACGACTGATGACAGGAATGCCAAGCATGCTATAAGCGGCGATGCTGTATAACAAGTCCCCTCCAAGCTGCTTGACCTGGAGGGCGCTTTTACAGAGCGTGTTCATCACCTGCCTCCAAGACGCACCTGAGCCCCTGATGCCAATGTTAATCCCAAGATACTTACTGGTGGCCAGCGCCGCAAACTCGGAAACGTCCACCCACAACTCCAACAACTCTTGAACGACAGACGCGCAGAAGCCCGGGCTCGGGATCACGAGCACGCACTTGCTCCTATTCAGGACAAGACCAGCAAAGCGCCCAGCACACGCAAGAACGCTGAGGATACGCGGAAAGGCGATGAGGAGGTCCTGGCACGCGACGCCGACGTCATCCGCGAAGGCCCCCAAGACGATCGGAATCCCCGAACACCTCAGCCTGATGCGCTTCAGGAATGGGTTGATGCGGATATAACAAATAAGGCCCGAAATCGGACACCCATGCTTAACGCCTCGTTCCACTAATATATAGATGGGCTAACACCCATGGATGAACATACACCTTCTCATATTGGAGCAGAGGGGGCGGATGGCA